TGCGTATATTTTTACATTTTGACGTATAGTGAAAATATAATACGTGCAACACTAACTGATATGAGATTTTTCATTCTAACGTCATGAAAGGACAATCAAAATTAGGACAAGAATCGTAATATACATTTAAAAAAATATTTATGCCCTAAAACAAATTGAAACTCAATTGTAATATTTCATTTTTTCTTACCATTACTTTCCCTAACATTCTCAGAAGAATCTGACTCAGTAGATGAAGACGAACTTGATTGTTCTTGAAACAAAATAATACAAATTATTTTATAAATTAGAACAATTATTAATTATCAATTGAAGAGAAAATTGTGATTACCTTTTCTCCGTAACATGTATTTACTAGTCTTTTTTATAGGTTTTTTCAATGATTCACTCATGTTTTCCTTTCCTTTAGTTTTGTATATAATTGCATTTATGTCACTGTTATCAATGGTGCTTTTTAAAGATGGAATTTTAGAAATATTAATATAGCAATCATTTACAGATGAACAATTGTTATATGTTTCATTTTTGTTAATACTTTCATCTTCAGTAAATGAATATATTGCAGTTTGTAAGTTAGATATGTGTTGCAGAGCACTTGTATATGTTTCTAAACAACAAAATTGTTTTTTTAGGTGTGCATACATACGAACACATTACATTATTATACCAAACATATATATCTTACTTGCTTGTCCACGTACAAGCACAGCATATTCTGACCATAACTCCGGAGGGTCAACTTTCGATAATAATAGTTCTTCGAGAAGTAATTCATCTTCGGAATTATCATATGGAGGGAATATATATTTTGTAGCAAGTGCTTGTAATGACTTCGAAAAATAAATCCAGGATGATGGAACAGCAACTATGTGACTTGCACTATCAATAGATTTATTAGATTCCTTGTTATAATTAATTTGTACTATCATATAACTTATATTTTTATCAGTCATCTATATATAAAAAATAAATAATGTTTATTATATACATTATGTAGAGAATTGTTTTTGTTATTGAAACTCTTCTTCTGTAATGCACGAATATGTACATATGTCCACAATGCTTTCCCATACAGCACAAAAGTTCGAAAAATATTTCAGAAAGATGTCAGAAAAGTTCAATGTTTCTGAAATCTGTCTGAAAGCTTTTTGAAACTTTTGTGCTGTATAGGTTATAATAAACTAGATGTAATGTGTCAAATCTATTTGTTTATCCTTATCCATCTATAAGAATTATATATGTGAAAGCCATATACATAAATGTAATGATACATATAATACATATGTTAGTATAATACTTGTACATATCACATGTAGATATTACACAGTAGATGTACATGTACAAAATTTGTAGATAGGTTAGTGTAAACATTGTTTCTACTTGATCCACAACATCTTATTTAGTACAAAACATTGTTTGGATGAGTATATATATA